ACTTTCAAGAAATAAAATCAGAGTTAAACTGAAACCCTTTATTTATGGGTGAGGCAAAAGTAGGTTTATAGTTGTAAGTACATGAAACATAGAGTTTATGCTTTTTTAAATTTTATTTATTTATTTATTATGTATTTATTTATTTATTGTTTTAATCCTCACCAGAGGATATTTTTCCATTGATTTTTTGAGAGAGGGAAAAACAGAGAGAAATATCTATGGGAGAGGAACACATCGATTGGTTGTCAGCTGGAGAGGTGGCTGCAGCTGAGGTACGTGCCATTGACTGGAATTGAACACTGCACCCTTTAGTCCACAGGTCAATGCTCTATCCACTGAGCCAAGCTGGACAAGACTCACAAAGTTTATTCTTGTACTAGTGGCCTGGTACACAAAATTTGTGCACGGCGGGGCGGTGTTCATCAGCCCAGGCTGCACCCTCTCCAATCAGGGACCCATTGGGGGATATCCGACTGCTGGTTTAGGCCCGATCCCATAGGACATCCCTCTCGCAATCTGGGACCACTGGCTCCTAACCGCTCACCTGCCTGCCTGCCTGATTGCCCCTAACTGCCTATTCCTGCCTGCCTGATCACCCCTAACTGCCATCCCCTACAGTCCTGATCTCACCGCCAACTGCTCTCCCCTGCTGACCTGATCTTGCCCCCAACTGCCTCTGCCTGCCTGATCACCTGTAACTGCCCTCCCCTGCCGCCCTGTTCTCACCCCCAACTGCCCTCTCCTGCTAGTCTGGTTGCCCCAACTGCCCACCCCTGCTGACCTGATCTCGTCACCAACTGCTCTTTCCTGACTGACTGATTGCACCCCAAACTGTCCTCCCCTGCCATCCTGATCTAGTTCCCAACTGTTCTACCATGCCGGCCTGATCGCCCCTTACTACCTCTGCCTGCCTGATTGCTCCCAACTGCCCCTCTGCCCCTGCCAGCTTAATCACGCCCCCAACTGCCCTCCTCTGCTGGCCTGATCACAGTCCCAACTGCCCTCCCCTGCTGGCCTGATCTAGTCCCCAACTGCCCTCCCCAGCCAGCCTGATCGCCCCTAAAGGCCTCTACCTCAGCCCCCACCACCATGGCTTTGTCCGAAAGGCAGTCGGACGTAGGAAGATAGCCAGTCGACCTGGGCTAATTTGCATATTACACTTTTGGTAGTATGGGTAGATTATATAGGATAGGATTGCTTAAATGGGGGGGGGGAGCCTTTTTCATCAGGAGGAGATGCACTTGGCAGGCAAAAATATATAATCCCTATATCTGGACTGATAGCCAGCCATATGCACTATACTGCCAAACCTGTCATTAAAAATTGAACCGCTTTCTTACACCTTACACCAAACAGCTGTTGCCCTTAAAACCTCTCCTCATCTCCCACCTTAGGTTCTGCCTTCACAGTTCACCCAGATTAGGTTCTGATTAGTCAGTTTCTATGCCAGGCAGTGTCAAAAGCTCTGCCTCCTAGGCAGCCATTGGCTCCTCACAGTTCACCCAGAGTTGGTTCTGATTGGTCGGTTTCTATGCCAGTCAGTGTCTCGGCCTATCTCAGAACCTGGTCAAAAAGGTGGGGCTGATCTGCAGCCCCCATGGAGGCCCAGAGAGAAAGAGAGGTGCAGCAGCTGGCCAGGCCCGGAGAGAAAGAGAGACAAGGGCTGATCAACAGCTGCCACGGAGGCTATGGATCAGACCCTGCTTCTCTCTCCACGCCTCTCTCCGGGCCTGATCCACAGGCCCCTCAGCAGTCAGTGCTGGGTCACTGTGCCTGCACCACATTGTCGTTTTGATTTTCATCTCTCAGATTATTAGTGACTTTAAGCATGTTTTCATAAGTCTCGTGGCCTTCCTTCTGTCTTCTTTTGAAAAGTATCTCTTTATGTCCTTTTCCCATTTTTTGATTGGATCGTTTATCTTCTTTTTGTTAAGTTGTATGAGTTCCCTGTAAATGTTAGACATTAAACCCTTATTGGTGATGACATTGGCAAATATGTTCTCCCATGCAGTGGGCTTTCTTCTTGTTTTGCTTATGGTTTCGTTTGCTGTGCAAAAGCTTTTTATTTTGATGTAGTCCCATTTGTTTATTTTCTCTTTAGTTTCCATTGCCCTAGGAGCTGTATCGGTGAAGATACTGCTTCGGCATATGTTTTATATTTTGCTGCCTGCGGATTCCTCTAATATTTTTAT